CTATACAATTTTAATGTTTTTAACAAGTTCACACAAGTCCAGGGAGGGATCCCATGGATGGCCCTGTTTCTTAGCAAGTTTTTGTAGTTCATCCACTAAGTTTCGAAATACAATCTTCAATGTTTCCCAAGACCCGTGGTTTGATTTATCAGGCTGGTATCTCGGTTGTGGTAGAGCAATCACTATTTCATTCACTTCTCCTTCAATGTGGATGCTGTAAAGTTCGGGGAATACACTGTGAAGGTCGCTGAGAACTTCGCCTCTGAGAGAAGTATTGCGGCAAACAAGGTTGAGAAGAAATACGCCTGAAATAAAAGCGAACTGTTGGCGTTATCTCGAAAATTAAACACAAAATAAACATTCAATCGGTCAAACTACCACATTTCGTCCAATTTAACGAATATATTTGATATTTACGGATTGAGCCAAATGATCTCTGAACCAACCAGGATTACATCAACATCACGCACATTAATTGACCTTTGTATAACTAATTCTCCCGAAAAAATTGTTAACTCTGGTGTCGTTCATCTTGGGATTAGCGATCACTCACTGGTTTTTATGACTATAAAAATACGTTATGAACGTGTTGGCACGCACCGTTCTATCGAAACTCGTGATTACAAAAAAAATGACAGCGACAAATTTTTAAATGACCTTGTTCAACAGCCATGGGATATAATTAGCTTAGAGCCAAATCCAACTGCTATGTGGGATGCGTGGAAAACCCTGTTCATGGAAATTGTTGATAAACATGCCTAACTGAAAACAAAGCGGATCTCAAAAAAGCATTCTCCGTGGATTACATATGACCTGATGCGTAAAATCTGTAAACGAAATTATTTAAAAAAGAAAGCTATTATTGAAAACAATGCAGCTAGTTGGGAACAATACAAGCAAGCGCGGAATGAAACTAACAATGCTATCAAATCAGCGAAACGTCAGTATTTTTTGCACAACTTAGAGTTGAACAAAAAGAATTCTTCCAAAACTTGGAAGCTAATTAACGAACTGAGCTCGCGTAAATCTTGCACAAACCGCAATATCACTGAAATTAAAACAGATAACGAAACTATAAATTCTGCGCCTGAAATTGCGGAAGCTTTTAATAACTTTTTCACATCTATTGGACCAAATCTAGCCAGTAAATTATCACCTTCTAATATCGACCCTGAAAGTTATTTACAGCCCACTAAAACAGCCTTCTCCTTAAGGGCTCTTAGTGTCACAACTGTGTGTGAGCTACTAAGTCAGCTCGACGAAAAGAAAGCCATGGGATTGGACGGAGTTCCTTGTAAACTTCTAAAATTAGCCAGTTCCATTATTGGACCATCATTAACGAAAATTTTTAATAGCTGTATAGAAACAGAAACCCTTCTAGATGAATGGAAAATCGCCAAGGTGACTCCTATCTTTAAAAAAGGATCAAAATCTGACCTGAATAACTATAGACCAATTTCTGTATTGCCAATTGTCTCAAAGCTATTCGAGAAAATTATCTATCAACAACTCTACGATTACCTAGATAAAAACAAACTCTTGAATACTTATCAATCCGGCTTTCGATCGCTCCATAGCACCATTCTCTATTTTCCAATTGCCCCCCAAATTCTGCATAAACCATTGTTTTTAAATGCTCCTGGGAGTATTGCATTTTCCCAAGAGCATTTTAAGACAATAAGTTATGCAAAATTTGGGGGGCAAACAGAGTGTATTATGGGCAATTGGAAAATAGTCAATGACAGCGCTACTTGAATCAACGAACAACTGGTCTAGTAATATAGATAACGGCCTTTTAAATGGTGTGGTATATATCGACCTTAAAAAGGCTTTTGACACCATTGACCATGCAATTTTGTTACGTAAACTTGCAAAGTATGGACTTGATCTGGGTTTCCTACGATTCTTTGCCTCCTACCTAGGTAACAGAAGCCAGAAATGTTATGTTAATGGCGTATTGTCCAGTGCAAGCGAACTAAGATGCGGAGTCCCACAGGGTAGTATTCTCGGTCCTTTGTTCTTCTTAATCTGTATAAACGATCTTCCAAACTGCTTAATTCAGCATGCGCTAAAATGTTCGCAGATGATACAACTATTACCATTTCTGGTTCCTCTCTAACTGACCTTGAACAAGAGACTAACTTAGAACTACTGAACCTTCACTGTTGGCTAAAAGCCAATAAGCTTAGTCTTAATGTTGCGAAAACCGAGTTTATGGTTATTGGCTCTCGCCAGAAGCTTCTTGCGGAAAGCCATAACGAAATAAACATTAAACTAGAAGACCAAGTTATCAGCAATGTTGATCACGCAAAATCATTAGGTCTCATTATCGACAATCGGCTTTCCTGGTCTAATCATGTTAACGAATTGTGTAAGAAGGTAACTTCGGCTATAGGTGCCCTTAGACGTATCAGGCCCCTTATCTCCCAATCTACTGCGGTACTAGTCTATAACTCCTTAATTCAACCTCACTTTGATTACTGTAGCCTCGTTTGGGATGGCTTAAGTGATCATCTGAGTGACAAATTACAAAAGTTACAGAACCGTGCAGCTAGAGTAATTTTAAAGGCCAACTATGGGACTAGCTCGAGCCTGCTTCTGGATATACTCAAATGGGACAAATTAGTTATAAGGAGAAAGAAGCAGAAAGGAAAAATGATGTTTAAATCTCTAAATGAACAAGCTCCAGTGTACTTGCAGAACCTATTTCACGAACGAAGCACAGACTGATTTGCGCAATTCCTTTCATAAATTGACGTTGCCCAGGCCGCGTACTAACTACTTGAAACGAAGTTTCAGTTACAGCGGTGCTTTGTTGTGGAACTCTTTACCCGAAAATGTGAGAGAAATTAAATCAGTCAGGAAATTTAAAGAGCAAATCAAACATGTATTTGAGAAGTCGGACTCTCACTCGGCAGTCTTGTAAAACAGTATGTCGATAGTTTTTAGTCTAATTAATTGTAATTAGATTTTTACTCTATTATTACTGAAGATTTTACCGAGTTTTAAATAAAGAATCTACCTATTAAGTAAGCTAAGTGTACTGTGTCCAAGCGTGTAACTTAAGCCCCGTTAATATGGAGAAAACTTGTCCCGGGTGGAAGGGTCACCCACCTACCCAAACCGTTTTCACGAGAAACAAAACGAAGACGTTACCTCGGCTAGAATGGTGACCCGCCTAGCCAGGTCACCCTTTTAGCCGGGCCAGATTTCCTCCAAATAAACACTTTGGCTCTCCCAGCGGGGTAAATTCGGTCGAGGCGAGAGAATCAGAGCATGGGAGAGCGCTGTTATCAGCTCTTGGCTCAGGCAAAGGGGTCAACGCTCGCTAAAGTTGACCCGACTGGGAGGGTGACCCTCTTTCGCGGGACAACTTTTCTCCATATAAACAGGGTCTCAGTACGCTTTCTTCAGCAGGTTACTGTTTTGTCGTACCTGTTGGAGTAAGGAGGGAATGAACTCGAGTGAGAAATGCTTTGTCAACAAATGCTTGAGGAGGGCAACTCATTCCTACGCTGTTGTCTTTAGAATCCACGTCGAATATGATTACATCGTAGCTCGGATAAATTTCTGAAAACAAATAAAATACAAATGAGAAAGAAAGGCCAATAAATACCCCGTAAGAACATTATAGACCTTTCCCGCATTCCAGTAAACAATGGCATCAAGTCGAGGCTTGGGTAGACAGAATACAGTAATTTGTATGAAATTGTCCACCCGAGCCTCGACCTCATTTCTTTATGCTTGCTCACTGGAGCGGAATGCGGGAAAGGTCTATTCATATACATTACTCGGGTCTAGTGTTCTAAGTACTTGGTGTTTTCAGCAGTACAAGCGTATTGCAGAACCTTTAATTTTCATGATATCCAAATAGGTTGTTGCTATTGACATGAGCCACGACCATTCATAGCGCCTTTTTGGCTTCTCTGGTTTTAATCCCCACTCCAACTTGCTTTGGCCGTGGCTGCTAAAGCACGCTCACAATTTTCGGGACGAATGGAACGACAGAGATAATCAGTACATTCAAATTTAAGAAAACCAATCATAATGAGCCATGTAACTTGAAATCGAGGCCAACGTTTCGAAATTTTGTTTAAAATGCTTGCAAGGGAATCGCACGTGAATAGATGAACCCGCAACAGCCTCGAATGCACGCCAGTTTATTATATAAGGCGAAATACGAAAAATAATCTATGTCGACCGGGGGTAAGGCAGTGGTAAAGGTAGCATACGCAGTTGAAGGTTGGCTTTGGGATGCCGTGAAGAAAACCTCAATCGCGATCGGCGGAGCAACGAAAATGAGCGAGACATCTCGACTTTCCACCAGTTCTCCTCCCCTTTTTCTCATTTCTTTACCGAGTTCCAACTAATCGAAATACCCACGGCAGAGGCTAAAGTAAACGGGTTTTATTTCGGAAGAATCTGGGCTGCTGCATCAGCGAAAAGCGTGAAATGAAAGCTGGTTTTATCAATCATAATGAACAAGATGCCGATTCAAATTGTTTGGTATTACATCCGCAGCAGAAGAGGTGAACATTTCACGGCCATCCCCAGGTTTGGGACAGTCAGGGAACCTTGTCAGGTGGCAAAGATGAACTAAAATCAAACCTTTTGACTGAATATACTTCAGACCGTCCTCGATCNAAAGCTGGTTTTATCAATCATAATGAACAAGATGCCGATTCAAATTGTTTGGTATTACATCCGCAGCAGAAGAGGTGAACATTTCACGGCCATCCCCAGGTTTGGGACAGTCAGGGAACCTTGTCAGGTGGCAAAGATGAACTAAAATCAAACCTTTTGACTGAATATACTTCAGACCGTCCTCGATCACAACTTTCATTCGCTCATCCTCTTTGAATTCAAACCAGCTTTTGGCAATTTCGGCCACGCAAGGATCCAGCTCAACAACTTCTAAGGAAAGCTATGAAGAGGACAAAAAAAATTAGAATAAAAGATGTCAAACACTTGTTAACTGATCAAGCCGCGCACACAGCCCACTGTTCTGTCTCCCAACAAAGATGAAAGTTAGTACGGCTAGTCTTTTTTTAATCAGTTATTTGCCAAATGATCAACGACTAAGTGAAACAGAATCAACGTTTTTAATGACCAAAAAAAAGAGCAACTCCCATAAAAACGTTTCATGTTCCTAAAGTTAAAGTAAAAAACCGTCACCAGAGGTCAAGTATACAAAAATGAACTACGTGCATAAATGGAAGGAATCAAGGCTCAAGAAACTACTTGTCATTATCCAGCATCCATAACGTTGCGAGAACAGCCAACTTTAATTGTCTTCTTTGTTAAGTAGTTTCTAACCCAGTTCTAACAGATACGGTTAACTGTTCACACAAGTCATAATAGTATTCATGGCGCCTGTTATGCAGTTTAGCTAACTGTGATAATTTCCTTTAATCAGATCCCCTTGTCAATTGCGTTCTGATTTCCTTTACGTTTGTTATCCTAGTCATTTTCGCTGCTTATTTCAGCAACCAGTATATTTTTCTGCTAAATTTGTTAACAATTTTGCCAAGGAAAATGTGACCAATGCAATGCAGTGGATGTAGGGTAAACTAGCAAAAACGTCAACTCATTTTAAAATCACCCCAACCAGGCCCTTTCTTCTCCCCGAAAGTAGAAGCTACGCATACATCTGTAACCACAACATCGTGGATCGCTGCTTTACAAAGTGGTGATCATAGTAACAATGTAAAATAACCTGCATACTTTACTGAAATCTCTATCGATTACAGAATAAAAGTTTGAAGGAATAACTAGTCACCTTTGTGAAAAACTGGTAAAGAAACATTGCCAGTCCTCCTCCGCCAAGCCCGACTATTAACCCTGTCTTAGTTTCATCTGGGAAAAACAAATGTTCGTAATTAAACTAACTTCATCTTGGTTGTGAAATCCAAACTAAATCTTTAATCGTAAAACCAAAACCACGGTTTTAACTCTTGCCATTCAAAGCAGAACCACGTAACCCAATGATCAGCCTATAGGAATTCGGCACATGACTAGGGAAAACGGACAAGTGATGAGTTAGTTAAATAAAAAAGGCACCATATCATTAAGGCTAATCAGGTCGTGTGGTCCTTTGAAATCAAAAGAAATCACGAGATTGGAAAGAGACACAAGGGGCAATAGGTGAGAAAGGACTTTTGGAAAAGGAGAGCAATTCTAATGCAGTCTGATTACGATGGGCGATTGTTCTGTCGTTTTTCACTCGTTTAACTTTAAATGGGTCTTTTGCCGAAGGCCTTTATGTCTTTACCTGAGTTGAAAAATTCTTGAATCCAAGCCAGGCCTGTAATAGCAACTCTGTGATGCTGGCATGCTAAATATCCATGATCCACTTGGGAAACAACACTAGTAACGGGCTGTTTAATCTGCTTTCCTTTCTTCTTCTTTGAAGTGGTTTTATCTGAAGTGGAAGAAAGCTCACGTAACATTTCTACTAAATTTGAAAGGCTAATTACTAAACCACCGTAAACCATGAAATAAATTTGCAGCTACCAGCGTTTCTGCAGAAGGACAAGTACGATGCAAGATGACTAGGACTAAGACGGCATATACGTCACAGTACAGCCCTTGTACGCGTTTTTTAGGTTCGTTAATAAAATAAATAAATACAAATAAATAATTAAAACAATATTTAAAAAAAAAACACTCATCTTTTTTCCCTTTATAATTTCTGCACTTACTAAAGGGCCAACCGATTTAGTGTTCAAATGTCAATGCTGGTGAGCAGAAAGGGGTTTCTAGGACTGAGATCTGGGCCCGGTTCCTCGAAAGATGGTTAAGTTTTACCCAGGATTAAGCCAAATATCAAGCACGGTTTTCTCGTCTAAGAACATGCAACTCGAGGTTACAAAGTAGTGTTGAGCCTTTACTACGAGATACAGTAATGATCACACAAAATGTTACCCTAAGCAATACATAGAAATGTAAAATAAAAAAACGGAACAAAATTTTAATCCTGGATTAATGCTAATCGGCCTTTCAGGAACCGGGCCCAGATTATCGTCAATGAACAGATCGGAAACATATACAGTTTCATTTGCTACTCTATTTTTTCTTTCATAATGCAAGTCGTTCCACTAATCGGATTTTTCCACGTTTTCGAAAATTAGCTTTAAAATATGCTCTCGTCGTTATAAACTATCTACGGATTTGTTACGAGTGTCTAAGTGTTGTAGTCCCTATGGCACCATCTGTGTCCAGGTGTATGGGACCATCTGTGCCCAAGTGTATGGGATCATCTGCGCCCGAGTGTATTGGACCAACTGTGCCAAGTATATGGACCATCTGTATATAGGACCTAATGTGCCCAAGTGTATGGGACCATATGTGCGCAGGTGTATGGGACCATCTGATCAATGCAAGGTGGCTCTATGGGGTTTTTGAGAGTCAATACCTCCCAAGTTTGAGTATGAACTACGTCGCCATTAACAAGGATTTGTAAAAATTACCACAAGAGCTGTATTAAATAAAGATGAAAATTTGCTACGATGAGGGTTACAATGACATCCTGGCCCGCATTGAGTGAGTGAGAACACTATGGATAGCTACGTTAAGGGCGACTTTAATTCATCCCTATAAGTCACGAAGTCTTTAGGAATCTAATTTATGCTTTATTGTTAGTATATTTTAATTGTTAACCGTGCCCGGCATGGAGGGTGGGTTCTATTCACAAGGCCAGGATTTTTCCTCAGTTTCTGCCGCAACGAGCAAGGTGGATGCTCGTTGCTACTTCCTGACGTTCAGTTTTCTTTTTTGTTTCGTAGGCTATTATCATTGTAAGCACATTTGTAGTTGTTGTATTAGTTTACTCAATAAACGTGGGGCCTCTAGCGAGTACGCGTAGCAAATTTTGTGTCTGTGTTGTTGACACGTACGGGTATGGTGGTCTAAAAGGAATTGAGACGAGTGAGCATGTCTCCTTTGCTGCGTTTGTAAGGAAACCTTCAGCCCGCATTACTAATGTTCGCTAAGAGAAAGACAAATCAGGGGGCACCTAACGAGAATATAATTCAAAACCAGTTAAATATAGCATTGTTAAACGTTTTCCTATCTCCCTCAAAACGATTCCGATGCATCCTAAGAAATGTTTGTCTAACCTGAAATGAGTCTGGCCTCCGACTGTACCACATTTTTGTTACTTAGAAAGATAAGTCTCCGGAATTTCTGCCCGCCATCACCGTCGACATCCTCCACAACGTAATCACCACTTAGCTCGGAATATCCTTCATGTAACACTACTCGACTCCCAAGATCTTCCCCAACAGAAAGAAAAGGAACCTGGATGAGATCAAATACGATAAAAAAAACAAACAAAAATCACACGACAAGAAATAAATGACAACAAGCAGCAATCATATGTAATAATCCAAAGCATAACCTTATCTTAAGAAGCTATAACTTTCGAACCGTACCATTTCAAGAGTTCAAAAGGCAGAAAGTTTATGTCGGAAACGGTAACCAGTTGACTGTCAGCTGATTAACTTTGCAACTCTATTCTCTCTTTACACATCCTGCAAGCATGTCGTTTAACTAAAGCATGCATGGCTCCTTTGCGACCTTAAACTTTACTGAAATGGGTAAAGCATACAGGATGCAGTAATTTCTAGTGCAAAGCATACAGTTTATCAGGAAAGATAACTTAAAAAGGTAAAATTTAAAAGAGAGGGTTACATTTTACAAATGGGTAAAGTTTACCTAAAGGGGTAGACCTTGACAATTAGTAAACTCAGTTAAAGGGTAAGTGACCCAACGCAATAAACTCTACTACAATGGGTAAACTTTACCCGACGTGGTAAACATTACTACGATGGGTAAACTTTACCCGCCCCGGTAAACTTTACCAAAATGGGTAAACTTTACCCCGATTCGGTATACTTTACCACAATGGGTAAACGTTACCCGCCGCGGTAAACTTTACCCTTTAACTGAGTTTACTAATTGTCAAGGTCTACCCCTTTAGGTAAACTTTACCCATTTGTAAAATGTAACCCTCGTAGTAAGCTTTACTACAATGGGTAAACTTTACCCAACGTGGTAAACTTTACTACAGTGGGTATACTTTACCCAACGTGGTAAACTTTACTACAATGGATAAACTTTAACCAAAGTGGTAACCGTTACTACAACGGGTAAACTTTACCAAAAGTGGTAAAATTTACTACAATGGGTAAACTTTACCCACCGCGGTAAACTTTACTACAATGGGTAAACTTTACCCAACGTGGTAAACTTTACTACAAAGGGTAAACTTTACCCAACGTGGTAAACTTTACTACAACGGGTAAACTTTACCCAACGTGGTAAACTTTACTACAATGGGTAAACTTTACCAAACGTGGTAAACTTTACTACCATGGGTAAACTTTACCAAACGTGGTAAACTTTACTACAATGGGTAAACTTTACCCAACGGGGTAAACGTTACTACAATGGGTAAACTTTACCCAACGTGGTAAACTTTACTACAATGGGTAAACTTTACCCAGAGTGGTAAACTTTACTACAATGGGTAAACTTTCTTTAAAGTGGTAAACTTTACTACAATGGGTAAACTTTACCCGCCGCCGTAAACTTTATTACAATGGGTAAACTTTACCCCTATTCGGTAAATTTTACTACAATGGGTAGACTTTACCCGCCGTGGTAATCTTTACTACAAGGGGTAAACTTTACCCGACGTGGTAAACTGTGCCAATGCCGGTATCCATGAGAGTCGAGAACGCTCAAGATAGCTACGTTTAGGACGATTTTTATTCTGTCCTATCAGTCATGAAGTCTTTAGGAATCTAATTCATGCCTTACTGGTCTTATTTTTTTTATTGTTTCCTTAACCGTGCCCGGCAGGTGGGGAGGGTTCTATTCACAAGGCCGGGATTTTTCCTCAGTGTTTGCCGCAACGAGTGCGGTGATGTTTTTTCATCCTGTGCATGCTCGTTGCTATTCTCTGACGTTCAGTTCTCTTTTTTATTTTGTAGGCTATGTATGCACACTTGTAGTTATTGTATTAGCTTACTCAATAAACGTGGGGCCTCCAGCGAGCACGCGATAGCAAATTTTGTGTCTGTGTTGTTGTCACGACGCGGTAAACTTTACGCGCTAAACTTTACTACAATGGGTAAAGTTTACCCGACCCGGTAAATTTCACTACAATGGGTAAAGTTTACCCGAAACAGTAAACGTTAGTACTAAAGTTTACTAAAGTTTACTACAATTGGTAAATTTTTACCCAACGTGGTAAACTTTACTACAACGGGTAAAGTTACCCGACGCGGTATAAAGAGGTAAAGTTTCCGAAGGTGGGTTACAATAAAAAAAATACAATAATGCCAGTGAGTTATCTTCTGATGCCGTACACCTTATTCAGGGTACGTTTACACGGTACTGGACGAGTTTTCGACCAGTTGTAGATTCGACAATATTGAAAGGTCCCGTGTGAACGACGTGTCCGGTGGAAAATTCGTCCGGTGCAGTGTGAACCTAGCCACAATAATGGTTTAAACTGTAATTTTCCTCGCTTGTTTGATGTACAATACACTACACTTTTGATATTCTCCATTGAATGGTCACCTGAGTATTCCGGTTGAGGTTTTTTGGTGCAAGCTCCATGACTTTTGTAGAAAGTTCTTTCTTGATCGTGTCCATATTGGTAAATGTGTGACCCCTCCCGAGAGTTGCTATGACAACCCGAGTAAAACCCGCATCAGTGGCAAGATCTGTCTGTCCTTCTTTAGATGAGAAAAGCCATTCCGTTTCACGGCCTAAAGAGATTAACAAGAATGGTACACAGATAAAGATAATTTTTCTTATCACAGTGCGTTTTAAGTGTATTGTAAGCAATGCCTATTAACTGTTTTTTTAGTTGGGCTCCACGCAAATGGAAGGAGTGTAGGCAGAATTTTTCCAGAGGTCTACACGATTTTCCAAATTCTAATCCCCACTTCCCTTACAACAACGTTTTCTGCTTTATACATGAAGTTGCCACTATTTGCACACTTTCCCCCGCCTTTTTCTTAAATAAAGCGTTGCACCAATGAATCAAGCGTCGCTTCCCTGACAACCGACATTTTGGAATAAAAAAGAAAAAATCTGTTGTTTTCTTAAGAAATATTTTAAAGAAACAAGCGGAGTTAAATGAACTGACTAAATGAAATGAACTCACTAATGTTAGAAATTAATTTTTTAAAGGAATTGTAAAGGATATTGTAGCACCTTGAGGCACAATGAAAATCGCAAATTTTCCATTTTTTCCTAATGCCTTTGTTATGTCTACCACTGTCAGTGAGTAACGAGGGACACTTCTTTGTTTTGAACAGCTGCCTGATGTTAAATACAAGTCCACATTCAGATGTTGTCCTGGAAGACATTTTTCTGAAAGATGGAGGGGAAAACAACAACAAATTACAGATAGTGATTATCTTAGAGGAAAACAATGCAACATTATTAGTAACAAAGAACCTCTATGTTTTACTCCAGGGCTCAGTTATTCGTAGGCCCATTCGCTAACCCAGACCTAAATTCTAGTCCGGGTTTCTGTTTCTTTACCTCTAAAGCGTTTCCTCAAAAATTGCGACCAGTCCTTTTAGATCGTCCAAACATCAAATTTTAGGCAAATATAATTTACTGCAATTTGATTTGAATTCTAAGGTCGTGCTAATCCTGGGTTATCATCATCCTGTTTTGAACAACCTGGCACAGAACTGTACGTATTTTTATCATGCTGAACAGACTCTTACTACCTGAAGAAAACTGATACAGGTATAATGTAAAATAATACAAATTCTTATGAAGAATGTTGAGAATAAATTGAGCCACATATTTACTCTTAAAACACACATTCACTCAGCTCATTATGTACCAACATACCAGTACTTTCATTTGAATTTGTGTAGTGTACAGCGGTTGTATGAGCAAGAGTACAGCGGTTGTACGTGCAGGACATACGGGAACTGAACAGTGTGAGTGGGCGTAGAGTAGGTGAGTTGACTTGGTGTCGAGCAGAGCAGATGAACGAATAAAGCGTTTGGTTTTATCTGCCTTTGTGGCTGTTAATACTCTAAAATTTGTTTTAGGGATTGCCAGTTAAGCAAGGTACCCTTGTTCCTAGAAGCTCCATAACACCTCTGGGCTGTCTGAGTGATAATCTTCCCCAGTGGAAACCAATGTTTCTAAATCTACTATTTTTCAGTATCCATACACACATTCATACATACCAAGTGACCGTTTCATGACAAGGTACTGCTGAATTTCCTGAATAGTTTTCTTGACTTCTGAAAAATCATCAACTCTCTGAATATTATCAAGTCCTTCCAGACAAATTTCTATGATTTTTAAGGAGTGGCCTGATGATTCTAAAGAATAAGAGCAGTATTGACGTTCATAAAAAGAGTGCTCAGATAACCCGTCAATGATTAATTCTTTACAGTCAAACCAGGTCAAGCGTTCCCGTCGCTAACATACTAATGAATTCATTAATGCAAAAATGATTTCGTTTGTTGATTCAATAATCCATTCATAAAATGAATAATCCAACAGTCAAATTGGACCTCGATTCAATAATGAAATATTGATTTGGTTTATGAACAAAATCTACCCGTTCTTTATTCTCGTCTGTTGTGTTCAATCATATTTGCTTCCCTTTTCCTGCCGTTTACAATTGCGCTTTTCATTGCCTTTAATCAAAATAACAGCTAGAAAAGACAGACCGCAAACGCAAAGAAACTGACAAAGGCCGAGGATCGAAATCCACCAATCACCGCTCATACACTGACCTCAGTTTGACCGTCGTGTTTTCTAAGAGGTCAGGGGCCCGTTTCTCGAAAGTCCCGATAATTAACGGGCCCGGTAAGCTGTCTCCGTTTACATTAAAGATCGAGTTCAATACTCTGCATCTAACATGATAAAACTATCAGCTAATGAAACAAAATGGAGTAGTTTGCTAGCCATGACCCGCGCCCTTGTTCTTATATTTCGATTTGAATATTTGATTTCGGGCCCGAAAAATTACCGGGATTTTCGAGAAACGGGTCCCAGGTCTGTTGCACTGATTATTGGCAGCAAAATGGCGTACATGTAACAGTTTGTTTGGGTTTGAACTTCAGAAGTCGCCCACACTCGACTCTTAGAAAAAAAGAAGAAAAACAAAATTCTGAGGTCGACTTGTGGAAATTGTAGTTTTTCAAAAAACAGTAATCGAATCAACATTCGATTATGGAATCGAGGGTAAAAATGAATATTGGATTGTTCATTTTATGAATGGATTATTGAGTCAACAAACGAAATCATTTTTTCGTTAATGAATTCATTAGTTCGTTAGCGACGGGAACGCCTGACCTGGTTTGACTGTAAAATGGTGTATGGACAAACTCGTTCACAAAAAGCTAATAAAAATGCAGTGAAAGTGGGCTTAATGGGCTTTCTTTTACAAGAGTAGCTCTTAAAAATTTCTGTGACCTGGCAAATCAGCGGCTTTTGAATATCTAACTGAATAGGAATTTGGAAAGTTATGTTGATTTGTGAGGAGGAAGCAATACCAGAACACTCAATGAAAAGTCCCCAGGGCAGAAAACAAAGTCAAACCTCCAATGTTATTTACAGAGGTGACAGACAAAGAATTCAGAAATTCAGCCTAACCATCATTATGCTAGCTGCACTATTGTCTCCTAGGTCATCTACCATAAACTTCTTCTTAAAAGCCCTGGGCTTGTATAACTTTGTAAGAGGTTTTATAACCGGAGTAAAAAAAAGGTTTCAAAACAAGCTGCACAGCAGTGCTGATCAAAATACTGTTTGACTTTACTCACTTTTTTAGGCTTCAAGACCTCATAAAAAGTTGAATTTATTTCAATACAGGTAGATGGGCCTGTAACTGGCGAGGCTTAATTAAGCAGAAGTTTACGGTATACTACATGTAACAATATTATTATTGTTATAGTATATAAATGTGACCTGCCATTTCAAATACTTAAGACATTAATGTTGCTAACGATATTGTTATAGCTCGTATTATATAACCTGCCTTGCCCTTATTATACAAGACTGTCCAAAAACTGACACCAGGGTTGTCACTAAGATTTCATGTTGCTGGGTAAATACAACACGTAGGCGGGGAATCAAACAGCTAATGATTTCTTTTGGTTCCGTTTTTCTTCTATTTTCCTGTGAAAGAAGCTAGGGGCCCCGTTCATAATAGCTGGGCAAAATCCCTGGCCCCGGCTCTTAATGACAGCCCTGCTCACACACTTGCTATTAGCACTAAAGGTGTAAAAGGCATACTTTTTCTTAAAATGTACTGAATCAGGCATCTGGATTGAGTTGATTTGATTCAATATATACTTTAACAGCGTGCATTTTATGACTAGGAAATAAAATTAATAAAGCTATATTCATTTAGGAGGCAGCGCGAGTGGTCAGTGTGCCAGACTCGCAATCCAGCGGTCCCAGGTTTAAGTCCTGCTCAGGTGAATTGCTGGATTTGTTCTTGGTTGTCCTGAGTTCAATCCTCAGCCATGCTTGTAAATATCCAACTGGTTGCCTCCTGCCAGTTGGGGTTTCTAATCCTGTTATGTTGTATTTGAATTTTTTGTTTCTAAATATTTGAGTGGAGTGCCTGTAAACTAGCTGGATAAACAGTTATACTAAGTTCACTTTCCACCATAAACAATGGACCTGAATCTGGGACCTATATTTGATATGAAGAATAATTATTATTCACTTCCAAGATATTTTCAATATGTTTGCAACATCCTTTACTACTTACAAGGCAGTAGAACAAATGTATTTCAAAACAAAGAGTTCACCAGTTCGTATTTTCCTTTGCAGAGCATTAGAAATCTTACAGACAGTATTTTATCCTAAGCTTTCTTTGGGTGACTTCATTCATCCAATAATTTTTCTGTTATTAGACACATGAGAAAACTCTTCCAATAAAATTGACAACAAATTATGAACGAATAAACATGGAAAAATACATGTATTTGAATGAAAATACACGGTAATGTAGTAAATTATATTATTTCAAAATGCATACTGACCCGTAAACTTTGTCTTTGTCAAAACAAAACAAAATAATGGTGGTGGAACTGGTCTTTGATCCAATGCATCTATCTGTAATAAATGCACTCTAAAAAACCATCCTGATGAAAAATAACTAAGCAAATAGTCCAGAACATCTCCTGTTGCAAATGTGAAACATAAGTACCGGCCTCCAACTTTAAGAAATCTTTGAATCTCAGAAAAATAGTCTGTACAGCAAGATTTAGTCCTTTGATCTGATGGCAAGTCTTTGTAAAGATTGTCCAGTTGTCCTCTGTCAATCACCACATTGAAACTTTCTCCATCAAAGGTATCCTAAAAAAGCAACAGTAATGCAGCATTAAGTGTTTTGTCTGAAACAAAAATGTTGCAAAGTAAATTTGACACTTGTCAAGAATTATAATTATTTAAATGCAGTCATGGACATCAAAGTGTCAGAGCCAATGATAATTGTCCACATTTGAACCAAAGACGATTTTTTACGAATTTTTTAAAAACGTTCAAATTTGCAGCCATTTTGGCACACCATTCGTCTTAGTCTTCTCTCGGAGTATGACGTACTTTAAGGAACACGTGACTTTATCGACAGGAAAACATTAAGAGTTCTGGTAGGTTTTTCTGTTTCAGAAAAACTTTCTTCTTGCGAAGACACTGTGATTCAATCCTTACTTGTAATTGATCTTTTTTGTGTTCAGCTGATAAAGGCAAGGCAATGCAAGTTCCTTAATTTACCTCACATAACGTCATATGTGAGCCTGCTAGTTTGCGTGATCAGCTGCACGGGTGTACCGCAAAAATGTAGACTTCAAAAATTGGTAAAAAAAATCGCGTTTTGTTCAAATTGCAAAATTTTTTAGCAGAAGTTATTTCAATAACGTATAGTTTCAGTTAAGAAAATAAAAAAAAATTAGGTGATGGGCACTTTAAAGGGCTTATCCTTTCCCTAGATAGCTGTAGATGAGAAATGTTCCTTTAAAAATACACCTTTCACTACTATTTTTCTTTCATTATAAATTTTTTTCTTCATTTTGTTAGCAATTTTTTTCTTTATTCCTGGCCCACCTAGATGACTGTTGAAACTTGCAATGCCAGGACATTTATGTACCACAACCATGGCAAAGCCAAAGAATTACGGTCTTGTCTTGTCTTGCGGTTTGCAGATTATATTTATTTAATATGATTCCCTAAAATAGATTGATATCCTCAATGGGTTTCAGCATGTCAGGGTCACACAATCAATATGTACATTATGTTACAGGTCAAAATTATAATTCAGTTACAATTTTTTAACCTAGGTTAATGAATATTTAAGGATAGGAGACAAAGGAAATAGAAAATCAACCTAGGTTAAAAATTTTATCCTGAATATAATTTTCACCTGTAACATCTATATTAATAATTGCCACAAAATCTCTTAGACGGGAGGATGACAATGTGTGTCCCATTTATCTTCAAATGACAAGATCAAGGCCTATAGACATTCTTGATTGTATCACGACTAACAATGCATATTAGCTTGATTTTCACACAGCTTAAGGTGGCTTGTTACAATGATAGGGGAATTTTTAGCAAGCAATCTTGGACTATGTAAAATCAGGTTAAATGTCATGACATGTGTCCTTGCATGCATACCATCAACTAAGAGGTGGCAGGACAATTCATGAGTGGCAGGTGGTACGTGGCAGGTAGTTGGTGGTGGGTGGCAGCCTGGCAGGTAGTGGGTATTAGCTGGCAAATAACAGGGTTTTTTTTGTTTTTTTTACCAGCTTTTCTGGACACAGGCCTGCTCAGAAGGAAAGTGCACAAATGGGACTCAGGTCTCATGTGAGGTGCCATCCCTACCCAACCCACAACCCATAAAGGTTGGCCACACCACCTGGTCTATGGCCCCTACTCTTTTCTAATAGTGATGTCGGTTCTTTTACGTGCCATAAGAGCAAATCAGTGAAAGTGCTGTGAGACAGGACGTACGGTTTTTCGTCCTTCTCCAAGAAGACTAGAAAGTCAAACCATTTGCAGATATCATTACAAGAGTAGCATTTTCTTCTCAGTTACTTAAAGACCCTGAGTGTTGGTCAGGCCAGGGTTTGAACCCGCTACCTCCCACTCGGCAGACCGGCGCTCTCTCAACTGAGCTAACCAGGCTAACCAGGTAAAGGGTATCAAGTTGTAGGTGGTGGGTAAGTACTAGCAGGGAAGTTACACAGGACGGTATATAATAGCAGGTATAAAAAATGCCCCCAGATCCTCTTCCTTTTAAAAATGATCAGTAGCCTCTCAGTCCCGGGGGTGGGGCATTTGCCAGTTTGCGCTGGAATTGACTGATGCACTACCCACTACCTGCAACCCTTGTCACCGGTGAACTCAAGTGCTGCTGGCTAAGTTAGGCTTCTGAGGGTGGTACTTTAGGAATTTCTGGGTGGGGATGTGCCGCTGGGACCCTGTAACCCCTAACCTATACCAGAGCTAGTTCAGCTGAATTTTGCTACCCTATACTAGAGTAAACTCCCCAAATCCCCCCTATCCTAGAGTAGCTGTTTTCCAGAAACTACTGAGGTCACTAGCACAGTCTAGCCAAAACAAAACCTTATACCACAATCCCTGCCACAATCCCTAGTCTAGATAAAATCTTCAACCAACTGATCAGTTTCCTGAAAAATGATACCCTATTCTAGACCCAAACTCTCTGATTTATATACCCTATCCTAGAGTAAACTGCTAGAAAACCATACCCTTCACAGCGGCACATACCTATATAGCCCATATATGGCAGTACCC